CCCTGGCCGGCCCCCCCCCCCCCCGTCATTAAAATATGTGAGTGGGACCCCTGGGATACAATGATTAATAAAGTATGTTAAATAAGAGTGCAAGAGACAGTTTTTTGGAATAAATAAAGTTAGATATAACATCAGGATTGCAAAAAGTCCGAACTTATTTCAGTCCAGGCTTTGGAGATGCATCTTCAGTCTGATATAAATTCTTGTCCTCCATATGGCTTGGCGTGGTTACCAATGTATCCATGGTAACTACACTGAAAGGACGATTTGGCAGTAGTGCCTCCGAAGCGCCCAACAAACAGTCAGGTTCGCTGACCACACTTGAACCTGCAGTCAGAAGATCATCAGAACCCGAGAGTCGACTATTTTCTTCACTTTCACACCTATAACTGCTCAGCCCACCAAGAATGAGAGACAACGCCTGCCGAGTGTCCTCGTTATTGATAATGGGCTCCAGTCCTTTTTCAACATTTGACTCACCTTCACCAAAGCCGTCATCGCTGTTACTTTCATTTTTCCTACTGTTTGCTGTAACTTGATTGGTCGATGGCGTTCACCCGTCTAGGTTTCTACAGTCTTGCCCCGCCTGATCTCCTGTAACTTCATCAAGCTGGACGCGGGAAGCTTCCCTGTCGTCTACCTCACCCACACTGTCACTATCGCTCTCCTAGCTGGTGCTGTTCAGGTAGCCTGGCTTCCGCTCCGTAAAAATGCAGCGGGTCAGGGGCATGAAGAGAAATCGAGGTGAATCTACAATCGACAGAAACAGTAAGTTCTTCATCAATAGTCACTTTTACTCTTAATAAAAGATTCAAGCATTACATTTATTCAGTTCGGCGTGGTCATTGTGAAAAACAGACAAGTGATGATCTCTTTTTAACCCTTCACTTCCAGAAAAGAGGAAAGTCAAAATTCGAGAAAAAAAACCATTTTGTATAATGCTGAAAATGCGTAAATTAAGTGAGGAAAAAACAGTACTAAAGAGAATTCATTTGAGGACACAACTGCAACGCTATAAAGGTTGACTGGAAGACTAGAACCCAGACCCCTGTTGTGGATGTCACTGGGGAATGACAAATTCTGTGCGATGGGCGATGGACACCGTTATCGATCCAGGCCACTTCGTATGCAATCTTTACCGTTGCCTTCACAAACGTGAGCTGCTTACGATCCCTACTTTCTCTCTTGAACGGCAGGCCCAGATTAATGTGTTCATGGGGTCTTGAACGGCTAATCCTGGCGGCTCCGACGCTAAGATGAAGCTGCCACTAGTCGGTTTCTAGGTGTTTGCGTTTGCGTGACGGCCAAATAGGGGTTATCGAGGCGTTTCGATGAGAAAAAAACGAACGCTAAGCATGAAGGATGAATATTCAATATTCATCCTAGATGCTTTGCTCCGCTGTTAGGTTATTACTTAGTTAGGGCAATTACGTTTTTTTCTGTCCCTTTCAGGACAAACGTTTTGGGTCTAAATCATGTGTGAAATCGAGTATAATGATTTGATTTTTGAAATAAGCGAAAAATTAGATGAGAGCCTACTTAGACGAATGATCAATATGTGCAAAATGTGGATACCGGAGGGCGAAGCAGTCGGTATTCAAGATATGCTCACGTTTTTCAAAGTCCTTGAAGACAAGAAACGTCTTGGAATTGATAATCTAGAGAAGTTGAAAGAAATATTGACACAACTGAAGAAAAGACCGCTGCTTAAGAGGGTAGAAAAGTTTGAAATCAAACGAAAAGGTATGTATTACCGAAATTTGCATTTGCAGCCTAAAGCGGAAATCTGGTGAAGTTAATCTTGCATAAACAGTCAGTAGTTGACGTTTTATTTCCTCAAATTTTAATTTTTGATCAAGCCAGTTAAAACTGGCTTGATTGAACTTTGGCAAAGATGGATTATTTGTATATTGTTACCGTTTTCTTTGAAACAAGCTGGCTCAATTAGTCTGCGTTTACTCCAGCTCCTAACTGACCCGCCAGAGCCAGAGCGCCGGAACATATTGAAATTCGTTGTTCGTTTGTGGGTTTTGCGTCGGAGAGGTCTGAATAAACTGGAACGGAAAATGAATATATTATATATATTAATCAAGGTTGTCTTGTGTCAACTTGAGATTTGACTTGGCATTTATATTACCGTATTTACCCGTGTATAATGCGCACTTTTTTTCCCTGAAATCGACCTTCAAATTTACGATGCGTATTATACACGGATTCCATTGTTTGGTCAAGATGATGCGTATTATACACGGATTCCATTGTTTGGTCAAGAAAACAAAAGAAGACAAAAACTTTGCAGTAATTGGTGTTTAATAAACGCAGTAAAGTAAACTACCAATGAACTGTTTTCAATTTCGATCCATGAATAAATTAAAATGCCTATTTAAGAAACAGCTGATCGAGGAAAACAACATGTGAGATTGTCACTATAGCGATCATGGCTACGAAACTTACCACTGTCAAACGTCAAAGTTACACTGTGTCCGACAAGTTAAGAATAATCCAGTTTGCAGAGCAACATGGCAATCGTGCTGCCGAGCGTGAGTTTGGTGTTTCCGAGAGTAATGTCAGACTCTGGCGAAAAAGTAAAGAAAACCTCGAGAAGATGCCTCGACTGAAGCGTGCTAACCGCGGAAAGAAAGCTGCATGGCCTGAGTTGGAGGTCGATCTGCTGGCTTGGATTACCGAGAAAAGAAATAACGGTCTTGCCATTCTGCCATCCATTGTGCGACTGAAAGCCCTCGAACTAGCCAAGAACGAGAAGTACGGAATTCCTGAAGGAAGTTTCAAAGCTGGCAATCACTGGTGTCAGCGCTTCATGAAGAGGAACGGTCTGTCACTTCGACAGAAAACAACATTAGCACAACGTCTGCCAGATGATTACGAGGAGAAGATAGTCCGATTTCATCGCTACATCATTGATCGCCGTAAAGAACACAACTTCCCACTGCATCTCATCGCTAACATGGACGAAACTCCATTGACCTTCGACATGCCACCGAATCGTACTGTAAACAACACCGGCGAGAAAACCATCAAAATACGTACCACGGGGAATGAGAAGAATCGAGTAACAGTTGTGTTGGCGTGCTGCGGCGATGGATCAAAACTGAAACCGATGTTAATCTTCAAGAGGAAAACCATCCCTAAGATCAACAACAAGCATGGAGTCGTTGTTTCAGCCCAACAGAAAGGATGGATGGATTCAGAGCAGATGAAAGTGTGGATCGAAAAAGTATGGCGTGCACGGATCGGTGGCCTGGGGAGAAGAAAGAGCTTGCTTGTTTACGACTCGTTTGAAGCTCACATAGAAAGGCGTGTAAATAGGTGCTCGGTGCATGCGATATTTGTAGTTTAAGTAAGTAAGTAAGTAAGTAAACATGTAAACATGTCATTAATGAACTCCCAGCTCTTGTTAATTAAATGGAAACATGGAAGTTTTAATTCTTGGCGTTTATCTTGAAATCTTTTTTTTTAGAATAACGTGGTCAAAAATTAGGGTGCGTATTATACACGGGCGCGCATTATACACGGGTAAATACGGGTACTACTTAGTTTAGTACTGCACGGCATGTACGGCACTCCGCTCTAGTCCTTCTATTGAGCACTTTGCCGATAGACGTGCATATGCATCAACTGGTATATTATATATATTACATGGGAATTAAGATTTGGGCTTCCAGAGTGGTCACCATGTTTGAAGTTGGTACGCGGCTTTCACTGAATAGTGGTTCTACAGTTCGTGCAAAATTGTGTATATGACCATCTTCACGCAGTCCTTTCTATAATTTCAGCTAAGTCAGCTGGTATCATTTCTTCCTTGAAGCGAGCTGCAGGAACCTTAATAGGAGGTAAGTGAGTTCCAACATTAGTATCCGTTAGTTGGTGGTTACGTCAGGCCATGCGCACGATGTTGGTGACCACCCTTTTGGAAAAAATGGTTTTAATGCTACATTTACTGTTACAGTTCCTCTAAACTCGTGTATAAAAACTTGATTTTCTGCACGGTTGCACTGTAATCAATCTGCATTACAGAGAGTATATATTTTCTGCATAAAGCTGTGATTTAAAGGAATTATTTCTTTGTTGACGAAATGTAGTGTAGTTTTAAGAAGCTATTTTGCCCTACTATTAACTAAAAAATATAAAGCTTCGATCTCACTTACCTCTGCAATAAACCTGCATTGACCAGAATAGACAAAGCTTTTCGAGATGCACATATACCAAAGTTTCTCCTGGCTTAAAATTTGTCGATGCATTTTTATGCTTATTAAATGAAAAACAACTTTTTAGCGTTAGAACATAATTTTTCATGCACCAAATTGTCAGTCACGATAGTACACAACCGTGCATAGAGGCTCGATCGATTATCGTTCTTTTTCATTGCGTGCATCGTACCTTTGTCGTTGAAGCACCTCTGTTTAAGCACGATCATCATTTAGGTGCAAAGAGAGAAGCACGAAAATACCTTTAGAACAAAACGTACTCGTAAATTCAACTCGTAAAGTTGAAAATGCTTCGTTAACACAAAACTGACTTTCTTACAAGTTGAAATATACCAGTTTATTGTAATTATTCTTTCTCGTTTCAACAGCATAGTCTTTTTCCTCAGATGATATATCGGCGATTGTTTGAAATAGTCTTGATGGAAACTCGGTTAAGGCTCGATAAGGGCACCATGAAGGCACGATCTATGCACCATCAATGGAATTCAGGCTCGATACACCTTTATTGGCTTCAAAATGCACTAATCGTGCAAGCACGATGTACAATGACAAAGTTACGGCTTTGATCACCAACACAGCTCAACACCGTGCACTTACCCGTGACGTCACACAATGCGCTTTTTTGTAGGATGACATGTATAGTCACGAGCAAAATCAGCCTGTAGAGGTTCTTAAAATTGATTTTATGTGCAACACTGACAATAGGCAAGTTTCGTATTCCCCGACGGCCCTGGGACGAGAGACTTCTTAGCATGATTGTGAGGCTAATGCTGGTCAACCTTCTTGGCGAAAGCAAAAACAAACAAAAAGGTAAATTTCGGCTATCAGTAAGATTTCAAAGCTTAAACTGTACCAATAAGCTAAAGGGATAACTGTTTCAAACAACAAAACGAGGGACTAACAGAGAAATGAAAAAAGCGGCAAAGCGAAACAAAGAGGTAAACTTTTGAAGTTTGAAAATGTTAAAGTTTGTTAAAATGACAATATTCCGTTCCCTTGAATGTTCACACTTCTTGTTATTCTATTTCACCATTGTGTACATCTCTAACATGGATTTTAAATTGCTCAGTATATCGTCTGAGTGTATAAAATTCCTTGTTCAACTTCTTGTCGAGTAAAATGTGTGTACGTTGTTTTCCACATGTGACTAAATATTTTGATCCAGGCCGGTTGAACTTCTTTATCCACGAAACGTACCCATGCGGATTTTTGTTGTTTCAAATACACGAGAATCTTCATCCACTTGGTTAGAATCTTAGAAAAACGTCAACTCAATTGAAAGAAGGTTTCAGTTTATCCTACAGGCTATCGATATAAGCACGTCCACTTCAATGGAAGGTATGGCTTAAAGACGTTTTAACGATCCGCACTGAAAATAACATTAAAATGGCTTCAGGGACCATACTCACCAACCTTTATTTTGGTAAATTTCTGATAAGGCTCGTTGTTTGTTTCGGTGACAATGAGCTGATTTTCCTTTTGCTATTTGAAACAATGATTTCTCAAGCCTGTAAGTAAGTTTTAATCCCTCCTTTCTTTCAGTGTTTAAGATTTCAATTGTTTTCCTGCAAGTCAGCTGCAGTTTTCTCGTGCTTGTTTGTCTTCTTGGTGAGAAGTGACCTGCACTATTATAGCCTCCCTTTCGCGCGAAAACAACTACTCGTCCGGTCGCCCGGGAGTACGAAACGTGCCTGTTTGGTTTCATCAATAAGTGACTGATTCTGACAGGTCGAATTGTTAAATTTAAAGCTAGTATTGGAAAATGAGGCATAAAGCAAGTTGTTCTCATCTCCTGATTCACGGTCTGACTCGATATAATTTGTCAGGTTGAATGGAATTGGTTCTTTTCTATTAGGTGCTCCCTTCGCCAATTTTTTTACGGAGGTTCTTGATCCGCAGTTTCGTTTAAGCGGGCACTGTACGTGTTTTAACTTTGTAGATCTGTGTACCAAAAAAGGGCATGATATTGATCAAATGAATGCAATGCAAAGTATCTAGCTCTGAAAAAAATACAACTAACCCTCATTCTTTATTATTATAAACTCCCTCCCCCAGTAACCGCCCGAGGCTGTAACGAGCCTCTCCCTGAGTTGAAACGTAAAATATTGCAGATTGTTTATCTGAGGCTCCTCATGTTTTCACAGCGGTTAGGATGGTGTGTAATTTCCGCACACTTGCGGGTAGTATTGTATTGGTTGGCAGTGGCCTGGCTCTGCGAAGTTGCTCTAGTTTTGAAGAATACAGCGACGCCTTCAACAAGGTTGTTTTGCCTGCTTTTACCAAGCTTGTTGAGCTGAGTGAAAGCTCTCTATGCTTTACAGTGCTAGCCGAAACACCGTCAGCTCTAAAAGAGTTATGGAACATTTACAACAACGAAACTTTGAAGAATCGTCTTCAAAGTTTTCTTGTAACCGAAGAAATCAAACAACTGGTAAAGGGAGAAGAAATGGAGGTGACCGTTTACATCGATGAAAAGGAATATAGAGCAGCTTATCTTGATCTCATGTTCCAACAAAATCACGGTTAGTCAGAATACCTTTTCTTGTATCTTGACCAGTGAACGTACTAGGGGACTGGGACTGGAGTTGCGGGCCTCTTTATTTATTGTTTATTTAGGTTTTAATAGTTTTAAATATGGCAGTTGCCTAAAACCAGTCTAGTATCTATCCAGGTAAGGCATCTTATGAACTCAGGGTTGTGCAGGGACTTATGACTTTGCAATATAGCACTTGAATCTACCAGGAGAAATATCAGTTTCTAGACATGATTGAAGATTGTTACCTCAAGTACAAATTTTAGTGCGTCAAAAGAAAATGTTGCTGTTCAATTGTTTGTAATATCGGTTTTTTTATTATTTTATTTTTAATATGTAAAGGGTGAATAATAGAAATTACAGAGACTTTACAACAATTATTCACCAAAGTGGAGGTGGCTAGTAGTGAATATTTACCGAGTTATTTAGCGGCGAGTTAAATCTCCACCACTAGCCATCGACACTGAGGTGAATAATTGTTTTAGTATGTACTAAAACAGTGAGATAATTAAGCTCAAAAATGATGATTTTTAACTCATTTACTGTTGCGAACGATTACAGTTTTGGCGCACAATGACCGAACGGCCGCGGTCGTTGCTTTTTCTTGCCGACAGATAAGACTTTTGAAGGCATTTGTTTAGCTCTTGCGGGGAAATTTCTTCAAAATGAGTTGTGAACTATTTTTGTAGTTAAAATCATTCTGTAAAAAAGATTATTAAATTTATGAACAAGTCCACCAAATAAAGTAAGGCAAGACTTAAGCTTAATTAAACATTGGTACACAAAAAACTTTTTCACCGGTTTTATCGATAAATTCAAGTCAAAAAGACAAAGTTTTACCTGTTCAACTTCGTCACCTTCTTCGTGTATTTCGGGAACAGCTTGCTTGATTAGTTGTGAAATTTCTTGTTTGTAACGGCAGCAAACCGGGAAGGCATTTTGCTCCCAACTTACGCGAGTTTGGCGTCGCTCGCTCGGAGGAACTGGAGGAGAATCAGTGAATAGGTTTGGTTTTCAAAGCCGGTGCTTTTCGCTACTAGTGGGCTATAACAAATAGCCTAGTAGTAGCTCAACTAATCAGAACGAAGCATTGATAATAGCCCTCTGGTTTACTAATACAGGATATTCACTGATTGGGTAGCCAATCAGAGCGCGCGAAAAACACTATCCACTATTTTAGTATATACTAAAACAATATAAGGCACTAGTCACTTTTTTCATCGATCCATTGAAATGGAAATATTTTTAGCTGCTTTGGTATAAATTTGTTAAGGATGTCACATCTCTTAAAAGAAGCGTGAGTGGCTTCTCGATCCTACTTTGTTTACAAATATGCTTGAATGTCCTATCTTACTTAATCTTAAAGTGAAATAGAGGTCAGTCACCTAGGCAGCCATTATCTTGGGTTCTCAAAAATAGCTCCTGCCCAAAATATATCAGCTGCTAGGACAATGGGATAGCCTACGTTCAAACAAAACATTTTCCCGTAGTCAAATATTTCATGACAGGTATACTATCGGTTTAGTTCTTTCTTATCCTTTTCGACAGGTGCTGATAACGTCAGCCAGGAAGGTAGCAGACATCGAAGGAACTCAGATTCATTTCTTTCTCTCAGCCCAAAGGAGAATGAAGTGACTTTGATGCTACTGAACCAGGCGGAAAATAAATGGAATTTCAAGATGCAAATTCTTGAAGTTGAGATTGACAAACTAAAAACGGAGCTCGCGATATGTGGGAAAGATGGTAGGAGTATAAACAAGTGTCAGCGGACTTATAAACTAATGACGTAGATAAAAAATTGTCTCAAGATCAGCAAACCTCCTGTCTGACTAAGTGTTCGTGGTGTCATAAGTCAGGACAAAATTTCCTATAGCATTGTCCGTATAGCTGAGTGCATGATGACTATTACATTGATGAAAACGTGTTACATGTTTGAGCCTACGATGAAATCTATGTACGGTGTAAAATACAGATTTTGGTCTCACTTGGGGAGTTTGGGACGGAAAGTCACTATATTTGCCCATTCAGGTATCGCTTAGGGCTGTGCATAAAGATGTTTACAAAAAAAATGCCGTGATGTCATCGAGTTTAGTATGGTCTAATTTGGGGGCCAGTTTAAGCTTGAGCCACACCCACAATGGTCTCCCTTAGGGGTTTAAGTTTAATTTACCGACGAGTATACCCATCCGCCGCCTCCGGAGTAAACCCTTACCTATTCCTCTTTGAAATATCGAGGCGTGAAAAGTCACAACCGCGCTGGAAACAAAGCTACCGTAGTAAGGCCAGCGTACTTCTATATGTAGATGAGCTACATATCCTGTTTTTGCTGTTAAATTGGGTATATGTCGATGTGGCCATTGAGCACGGTTGACGTGACCTCAGGACTGAGTTACCTGCAAATACACGGGAATACAGCCGCCTCAGTCATCAACTCACAGCGGTGAGTTACAGGCTACCCTAGGAACGTACAACCTCAAAGACCTGAGCTCCTCCACAAAGATCTCACCCACCAGTGGCATCCGTTACCTACAAGTCAGTTCTTGAATGATAGAGATAAGTTTAGATAAGACAAATCTATTTTATACTAACTCAAGCAGTAATTAACTTCTCATTGTCTTTCCAATTTCAGCTCAAGCTGTTGCTGTCTTGTCTTCCGCAAAAAATGCTGGAGAGAGACTTACAGGAAGTAAGATCATATATAATTGAGCTACGGAGCATTTCGCATCTCTGCAGCCACAGTCGTCAGTATATATATAATATCTTACTTTTTTCCTCGTCTTCTTTTTTTTCCCGGTGATAATTCATCCTTTCCAGTAAAAGGTAAATGATAAAAAAGACTAAAAATGCCTCCGACGTTAAGTTACCGCGGGGAAGGTTTCTTACAGAATGATCTGCTGAGAAAGCGAACTGATCAAAGAAGAAAGGAGAAGGATGAAAAGAGTAAGGGTTTAAATGATAGTAAATAATGGTAATAGGACTAAGTGGAGTCCAATTCGGTCTGAAATCATGAGCGATTAACCGACGACACGAAGTTCTGTTACCAATTAATCGCAACTATAACAAAATTTGTGATATTTTATGCTTTTTCAAATTAAAACACAAGAAATTCCGAGAGCATTTTTTAAAAAAAGTTTAAAAAAGCCATTTAAGTGCGCGCGTGCGATGACGCGTACTGTCCAATTAATACTGAAATCAGGACAGTTGATAGCCAATCAAATTTTGTCATAGTTTTGATTAATGAAATTATTGATCAAATGTCTCGATAATTAGATGAATGTACCCAATCGCCCAGTCATAACATTAGTTTACTGATAATCTTAACAGCCGTTACTCCTTACTGCACTTTCCGTAATGTTGCTGGTGCCATAGTAATCGTCTCCACCTGGATGATCCTGCGCAGGAGTACCAACCTTGAAGAATTCGTAACTTCTTTCACTGAAGCCGTCCTTCCTGCTGCCAACACCTTGAGATCAGTCAGTGAAGATGCAATATGCTTCGCGATTCAGGCAGAAAACAGACCAGCTCTTGAGGCACTGTGGAAACAGTACCAGGATGGCACTCTGCGAGACAAGCTTCAAGAATTCCTGGTGACTGATGATTAGTTTGTTGAGCGTCCACCTCTCCTTCATTGTGACCTCCAACATATTGACGAACAAGACTATCACAATGCCTGTTTTGATCTAATGACAACCGAAACACGAGGTAATTCAAGCTGACTAGTAGATTTAGTCGCAAAATGAGTCTAAAAGAGTGTCCTAAAGATCTTCTTACGTCAGAGTGGGGCGTGATAAGAAAAGTCATGGATAAAAGCCGGAGGGGACACACCCTACACTAAAGAAAACTAAAAAAGAATAGAAAATATGTATATTTAAATGAAGAATGACTAAATCGCAATTACTCTAGCTACTCTAGCTCTTATTTGGATGTCTGGTTATGGTACCCTGCTCGAGGTGACAGATAAAATTAAAGCTATGCACAGGTTAGTCTCATGAAAAGTTCGGCGTCCGGAACCGGGCCAAATGTTCACTCTCAGACAGTCCACTGATTGCGCGTGAGTGGTGTTTGAAATTATCCATTGAGATGAGCGTATTTAAATGTCATGAAATGTTGGCGCTCACCACGCAAAGTGAAGTCATCGAGTTTTCTGAGCGCACGCCAGATTGCCCAGAAAGAAAGCTTTCAAAGCGCATTTGCCCACCAAAAACCCATCGCAATACCCATGAGCAGGGGAAGAGATGAGAGACTTATCTGGCCTTTAAGGAGTTCGCGCTTTTATGTGCGCTGTTCTTTGGTGCGGGAGCAGAGATTTAAGAATCGAGTTTGCACACAGTAACCAGCCTTGATTCGCATCAGCCTCAAAACCGTAAAAAAAATTTACGGCCATCAATTAAGCCCAGTTTTCACAGGAAAAGCGACAACAAACCCAAGTTCACTTTTACGTGAGTTTAGTTTATTTCTATATTTATGCCTTTTCTACGCTCTCAAATAAATAGATTGAATTTATTCTCAAACAAAGTTTATAAATCCTTCATTTCTTATGCCCTTTTTCTTTAATAGAAATACTATGACAAGTCCGATGTCGTCTGTAACACTTATCAGGGGCACCCAACGAGAATATAGTTCAAAATCACTTAAACATAGCATTGTTAAACGTATTTTAGTATTTAAATGGTAAATATAGGCATATTTTTATCCCCTAAAAATTTTTCATCCGTTCGGATTTCCTAGCTAAAAAACTAGTGATCCGAAAATTATAGGGATCAAACTAAGTTGCCTTTTCGAAAATTTCATCCACAAAAAAGGCTCCCGAAAATTCGAGGTGACCTTTTTAGGATAAAAATCCGTTAAAAATTGTCAATTATATCATCTTTTAGATGTTCGAAAATCCTAGGAGAGGCAGGCAAGCAAGAAATTATACAAAAAAATTTTCCGAAAATTCTATATCTCAAATCGTTTTCCGAACAGATATTTTCTGGAAATTGACAACCTCGTCCCCAGGGCTTTTCCCTTAAAAAATGGGTGGGGCCATTTTTTAAGGGAAAAGCCCTGGGGACGAGGTTGGGAAATTGACTTTGGCTGCTCCTGACTTATTATAAGGAACTTTCCGTTTAGCTAATAGCTCTTGGTCTACTAAATATCTTTCACCAATGTTTATCTTTGTCTCTTTTCCTTTTTACGTTCATTTATTTACTTCACTAGAAATACGTAACTCGCATTAACCCTCACGAAACTGGGCTCTTTTTTATAGCGCTCTCAGGTTACGCCGTGTGGGGCAGAGTTAGAAACTGGATGGGTCTGGGTTAGGGTAAAGTGAAGGTTCTTAATTTATTATTTCTTTTCTTCTTCGATTCTTTTTCTTTATGTCTTTTTTTATTATTATTTTGAAATGTGTATTGAAAATCATATTAAGCATTATTTCGGCCGCCATTTTATTAATTCAAACACGGTGGGTTCGCGTGCGGGCCGAAGTTACAGGGCGCAAACTTTGATCCATTGGCGGGAAAGCGCTAAAATTAAGCTACATGTGTGCTTTCCACGGTGTAAAATGAATTCCTCGCAGGGCAAGGCTATGTTGTCCCTGTGCTCCGTGGTTTCTTGCTGTCTTCTTCCCCTTCCTTCCTATCGCTGAATTTTAAATCGCCATTCCCCCCTCCAGCGTAGTTTCGGTGGTAAATCGTTCAGGGTGAGGATTTCCAGCAACTTGTTGGCACACTCAAGCACACTCATTACTTTGGCGGAGCGCGAAGTAAAGGATTCGCGACGCTCAGGAATTTATCAAACTTGACTTTTTTTGACAAGATTGGGCTCGCCAAGTCAGTAGGTTTTCGGTTTTATTCGGCTATTTGACGAAGTGAGAGCCGAATTAGTTCGAGATATCTCGAGATCACTTCGATTTCTGTGATTTATTCTTTAACTTTTTCGAGGAAGAAAGAATTATTAATTTGGCTTTCCTGCGGGTTTGAACCGACTCACCTGTGTGACCCGTCACATCAGAGGAGACTCTAAGTTGAGGGATTAGCCGATAGCCTGAGTAGCTGGCGGTATTGTGTAGTAGTCGAGTGAGATTTGGTGGCGGAGCCGTTGTAATATAGTCGAGTGAGATTTGACGGCGGAGCCGTCACGAGCGGCGAAACCGCGAGAAATACCAACCGCCTCGTCCCTCCTCCCTTTTTTTGGAACACGGCTCCGCCGCCAAAACTTGAATCTCGCACCCACACAATAACGCCAGCTACGCAGGCTAATTAGCCGATTGCGTTATGAAATGATGCACTAGTTTCGGGACAAGATTGGGCGTGCAAGTTCGTGACTTTTCGGCTTGTTTCGGCTATTTCACGAAATGAGACCGGACTACTTCGTGATATCTTGAGATCACTTCGAGTTTAGTCTTTAATTAGTCGAGCTTGCTTTAGGAGAGCGAGACTCTAAAAATGCTGTTCAACCAAGATAATTGCACAGTGGGACAGCCTACTTCAGAATGTCAATTAAGGAGCAAATATTTTGTGCAGATAAAACTCAAGAGTTGTTAGAATTGCTTACAAACTCTAAAGATGAGATTATAACTGTTAAGGTCCCTCAGCTTAAAGAAGTCAGACTAACTACAAGTGCAAGATACATTGATGTTCAACAAGGCACTTTTGATTGGCTTAACCTGAGGACGGGGGTAATAACAGCAAGTAAACTACCATCACTCCTGGGTTTTTATGGAAACAAAGAGTTTGATTCATCATGGTTTTATATTCTAAACAAGGTAGATGAAAGTAAATGTAAACCAAAGCAATACAGAAACTTTCAAAGAGGAAACTACTATGAAAAAGAAGCTTTAGAGCACTTTCAGAAACTCTCTGGTAAGTCAGTTTATTCGAAAATATTAATAGTAACACAATACTCTGAAATTTACCAAATAAGTATATTACCAGCATATCATGCAGTTAATCATGTACATAACATAATCAAATAGGAATACACTTACGTGAACATAAATGTAAGCACAAAAATTAATGTAAGTTTGAGTAATCATGTATTGATTTCTATTTTTCCCTACAGGTGTCCCAGTCTCAAGTTGTGGGTTTTTCAGACATCCATCAAACAAACTATGGAGCAAGTCCTGATGGTATTTCAGAAGCATTTCTCGTTGAGGTCAAGACAAGAGCAGAAAACTCTGAAGCCCCATTAGACAAAATCACAGGCTCACATATTTTTCAAGCAAATTTTCAGATGTCTTGTGCAGGAGCAAATCTTGTATTTTTGCAATCTTATCTCCCTGAAAAGAAAAGTTCAAATATATTTTTCATACCCAGAAATGACCTGCTTATAGATGTCTTAAAAAAAATAACTGATCATATTTTACATCAGAAAATTGTAAGTAAGTGGGATTATGAAGAGAATAACCATCTCTCTGAACTTGGAAAGGACTTATTAAATACTGTTCCTAGCTTTGACACATTACGTCAATTCCGTGAGTGGGTAAACCAAATGACAAAGCATATAAAGAAGGTAGTCTTTGTTAAAACATAGTCATGTAATATCAACAAAGTTTTTTGGAACTAGTTTTAGTTAGGTCAATAGACTCTGAAATGGTGCTCAGGAATACACACCATCCTACAAAAATTCTACTCATAGTTGATAAACTTGAACCAGTCATCCATGCAATAACACCAAGGTCCAATGCATGTCTACAAATTGTCAAGAACCTGATAAGTTCTGTCTTTGTGTTCAGCTTTCTATTATGGGACGAGTCGTCATTGTTACGATCAGGATAAAAAATTGTGTGCAAGAAAGGCTCCAAACATTCATATAGACAATCTAATTCGGAAAGTGATAATCCTGTCATATAGTAAATTCTATTTGGGTATCTCATGAGTGCTTCATAACTAAAAGTTTGGCCTTCGAGTGCTTTCTTCATTGCATTGAGTTGCTGACTGTTGTTCGCAGCATTTTTTTCAAGTTAATTTCTGTTTGAGTCTTTGACAGCCGTTGCTGTTAATCTTCAATCAAAGCCTTTTTTTCATTTAGTTCTCTCGTCAAACTTTCCACTTGACTTGTAAGCTTCTGATTTTCTTTTTCTACGATCGCAGCTGAAACCCGTGGCTTCTTAACCCGGGGTACGGGAGTTTCGCTGATGTCTTTCCGAGGTTTTATTGGAGTACTCCTCACGGTATTGGCATTCGACGAAGTAAGAATCGTTTTTGTACAGTCAATTTTCCTTTTCAATTCCCTAGATGGTTTTTGGGAGTACTCTTTTTCCAGATTAGCAACATATTCTTTTGTACAAATTATGTCTGGCAATTGATTCTTGTTCTCTCGTTTCCCCGAGCTCCAGTGAGCGCTGCATATAACATGTTTTCTCCAGTTAATATTTTCGTTCATAAGGACTTTCCTATATCCTTTTTGAAGCTCAGGATCGCTGGGCAAAGTATAGTACGTTATTCCTTTAGTTCTGTAATTATTCGTACACAAAGAACTGGCACAATTCCAATGCCAAGTTTTCGTGTAAGTCGCCATCTCTACGCCATCAAACTGAAGTGCACTTCCGTCCGGCAAAACCGATAACTAGTGCCAGGCTCCCACGGTATGAAATCAGGCAATGGCTAGAGTAGCTAACGAAGAGCAAAACGGTCCTGTCGTGTGGGAGTTCGCCGGAGAAAGCGGTTCCGACTCAGCGAAAACTGCTTTTTGCGGTCTTCGTTACATCAGTATATAAACAACCAACATCCTATTGTAAAAATCGACAACTGTCTCTTCCGGCGACATCCACCCACAACTGCGAGCTGTGTTACCGTCGTTTGGATCCAGTCGTGAACAAGTAACGAGAAAATAGGTTCAAAGTTGGTTCAAACATGAATGTTTGGCCACCAAGCATTTGAATTTTGTGAGGGCGCTAGACAAATGTGGGCACACCGCTCACCATAAAGAATTGACCGAAACCGGAAACCGCGCATCCAGACTCTCTGGCATCCAGGTTAGCAACTGTTTGACAGCTTGAAGCACCTGACCTAATTTGTCTTTTCACAGCGAAATATTCATCGCAAGTATTAGACATTAAGAAGAAGTAATGCAGTTTGAAACTCTCAGGAAATGTACTTTTTCTGAACAAAAAATTTTCCTGGAAAAAGAGAAAAAATATCTTGCACATTTGCATAAGCAATTGAAGCCTGCCACTTATTAAAGGTTTCGTGTTTCGCGCGTGATAACCTTTGCCTTTGGCTTTCGGAGTGTGTCAGAATTCAATATTCGTTACTTTAAATGAGGCTACCAGCCGTTAGAAAATCTCAATCTTTAATCTCAAAGTGACATTTTACTGCAATCCTTTGTGAATGAAATGTCAACAACAACAACAACAACAGGAGCCGATTAGTAATAGATCGGCTCCTGGCGCTAATTACTATAATGGCTGTCAAACTTCAAATGTTTGGCGGCGAAACATGTCACGTTCACGTGAAAGTAGACCGCGTGGGTCACGGAAACAACAGACAAAAATAACCTTCGCAGCACGCGCACGAACTTTAAATAGATTTAAAAAAATATATCATGGGGCACAGGGATTCGCTCTCTTAGCTCATTCTCTCTTGGTACGCGCATGATTAGAAATCGGATGTGTCCAGAACTGAGAATTCTCGTCAATTATTGGATTGACGACAAAACACTTCTGTCGAGATGGCTTAACTATAAGACTAGTGCCTTTGTAGAATGGGCTATGCTTAGTCGACGTGTTCTTATTTCTTTTGGCAGACTGTATCTGCATGTCTGTTGCATTTTGTTTGTCAAGTCCGTGACTGCAGGTATCAATTTTTACAAGTACACCAAAAACAGTATTTAAAATCTGTTTGAAAATAAAATTTGGTCGAGTTTTTTTCCTTTGAAGTAATTTTTTACCGTTGAGGACAGCCGGGTTTTTTCAAAACACCCTATAAACAGCCTGTTTAAGTTAGGTTTGGAAACAGGTTTCCATTTACATGTAAATACCTTTTAAATGAGGATAGTTTGTGAAAATACTGTAAAAACAGCCAGTTTTAATCCTGTTTGGAGAGATTTCAAGGTGTTCGTCATTTCAAATCACAATTTAAATTGAACTGCCTCTTAAACTCCCTCTTCGAACATGTTTTAACTATGCTATTTATGAGCTGTTCAGATCGCAGACGAAGAAGTATATTCAAATAGTCTTTAAACATTCTAATTAAAATCTGATTTTGAACTTTACTTGTAAAAACTACTTTTTAAATCTTTGATTTTAGGTTCTTCTTTCCAAAATGCAGCTTAAATACGGTATTTAAAAAAAGTTTAGCAACACGCCAGTACTCTCTTTCCGAAAATATAGTTTAAATACTGTATTTAAAATGTAGTTTTGATAGCAAATATGTTTCAAATACAAAGGAAAACCTGGGAAAATGTTATAAATATTATTCAAATAGATGTCAAATACAATTTAAGCTTCTAACGCTATTTTGGTTTTAGTCGTGAAATATAATAAAAATAGCTCAAATTGTAGTAAAAATAGTTTTTAAATCGTTTAAATAGCTTTAAACTACTTCACAGACAGTTTTAAAATACGGCTGATTTGGTGCGGGTATATATATCACCATTTTAATGAGGTTGGTGGTAGATTTACAGTGCTTATATCTAGCCGAATTTTTAACGAATTTTCAGACATTTGCAGCAATTTGTGTAAAAAGGGCCAAGGGGCAGGTTTTTTGCATCCGATAAGCTCGGATTGCACTCTTATTGTCTTGGGTTTTAATTGTCACTCTTTGAAAGAAAAAACTGCTTAGCGGAAGAGATATATTTTGGCAGTAACGTTTTTAAAAATCCAGCTAGATTTTCTATATTCGCATAAGAGAATTAGATAACAGCTAACAGTCCGATTTCTTTTTTCTTTTACAGCCAGTCTTCCTCCAGTGGGCCTAAGTCCGAGTCATAAGATACTTGAACCTGCTGACATACACGATTATAAGCTTCCTGATAACATAGGTCTTAAATGGAAAGACCTTGCACGAGAATTAAACTACTACCAACCAACTATTGAGGCAATTGAAACAGGAAAAGTTTATCGTACAAAGGAATGCTGCATAGAACTTTTGGTGCTTTGGATAAAGCGAGAGGGAAATAATGCTACTGCTGTAAGACTAGCAGACACTTTAAGGAGAATAGGACTTAGGAACCTGGCTGATATTTTAGTCTGCCCAATTAGCGATCCGTGCCAAGTAAGTATAAAGCAAAATTTACTTTCACGAAGAGCCAGTTAAAAATGCGACAATATTCTTTAAAGCAGTTTTCGGTAGTGCCCCATGTATTTCTGAACCTCACTTTTGTTTTCTTGCACGAAGCGAACAAGCCACAGCATAAAAGTAGAAACTTCTTGAAAATTTGTATACTCAGCAGATATATATTCGAACGCAGCAGTGCCAATTGGCCATTTCCGAAATCCCCCGGGCCTCTGTATCAAAACGAAGTTAAGTGCTCAGCCTTTGATATGGAATAGCCTGTGAACGGGGCCTTTGGTCGAGCGGGCAACTGGGGAAAGGGAAAAGCGAAAAGGCCTGTAGACAAACATTTGGGATCGCTGTTCCACTGCACCCACTGTGCATCAGATCCTGATGCAAGCTCCTATTGCCAAGAACACTGACTGTCGACAGGTCTCATTGACATCAGCTTTTCGGTCGGCACATAGCAAGCGATTTGATCACAAAGTGGCAACAACAAAACCGGTCCAGACTCACACTATCTTTAGAAAAACACTAAGCTGGAGTTTACCGAGTTGACTGTTCCTTCTATTATAAGGAACAGTCAACGGCGAACTCAAAAAGTAAGTTTTAGCGAGTTTTTTGGCGAAAACTCCGTTTTCCTGCTGATATGTGGTGTCCATTCCATTAAGTTGCAAATAAATAGTAACTAAATATATGTCAGTTAGCGATATACGGCTATAGGTGAGGCAAACGGTAAATCTAGTACATTTACTATAAAATAACAATCGGCTACCCAGACAGATTTTGTGGGTGCCCTGTGGTGAAACAAGCAGCAGAAATCACATTTGCTCAGTGAAAATGTAGAACCTTCCAGAGCATAATCCGACCCAGCAGAGGGAAAAACTTATGGGGACAAGCAGCATATTGGCATGAGGTAAAAGTTGTGTAGGCCTACCGCCCCCTTTTATTGCTATAAATACCCGAAGGTGTAATTCCTTTATTAGTGTCGGTGATCAAAGCGCTGTTGATCTCTTTGTACTTGTCTTCGGAGCTTCACGTACTGGACAAGTCATGATGGTATCTGTACCTTTCGCATTCAAAGTTCGCTCATTGCAGGGGTTGTTAAATTAGAAACTGAACTAGCAAGACGAACGGCCAGTCGCGCACAGGTTAAAAAGCTTAAATCGGAAAAGTTTTCTCACTCTTTCTCCTTGCTCAAGTGGAAATCTTAAGGGTTTCAAATGCTTGCGCTAGTACAACGCTCTCTTGACCACTTTCAACCTGAAAGGTCTTATTTCTTGAAACGCCAAAGACCGGCACCGTATTAATTCTCTTACCGGAGATCAACGACTTTTTGCAAAATCGACGATGACGCTCGCGCTCTATTTCAATCTGTTTTCAGACGGAGCAAAACACCGCTCAGGGAAAATTTTCCCAGGAGTTACTCACGCGCGAAATTGATTGACAGATAACTATCTTACTGACAGATGATCGGCAGGATAATTACAAGAGTACGGAATAGCGGCCTCAAATGTTTGTCTACAGGCTCTCTCCCGCCCTTTCCCTTCCCTGTCCTCGCTATTTTTTTCCCCAAACAGAGAGCCTGTTCACAGGCTAATATGGAAATACGCGATTTTTCATTCTCATGCATTCTCATGCAAATAAAACTCATTTTCACAAGAAAGGTTGTGCCCTTGGCCTCATTTTTTGGAACTCGGAACTGGCCTATAACAATATACCTCCTGTTTCGTTGGGCTCAGAAGCCTGCCTCTCGTTTGCTTAGACACTAAGATGCCTTTAATAAGCGTATATTGGGCTACAGTGGTCTAATATTTTCTATTTTGAGTGCATATAGCTACTCAAATACCGAGAAATAGGTGACGGAGAAATAGAGAGACAGAAATAGAGCCGGGAGGTGGAAGTGCTCAATTATACGGGGAGGCTCCGCCCCGAGGCCCAAACCCCTTACCCTTTTATACACCATTTTTGACAGAAGAAGTACCCCTTTGGTATTCCTTCTGTTGTAAAATATCTTGTTGGTACCCCTTCCAGTACCTAGTTTAGAACACTGCATTCCTTTTCACCTTTTTAAACTGTCTGTAAACATGCATGGCCCTTATACTCCTACTACTTATAATCAGGCCCTTATATACTCCTAGCTAATACCTTAGAGCTGAGTCTCCAATTTTGTTGCGGACTTCAAGTATGATTAGCTCAGTTTGACATTTACCTGATTTCTTGATATTTTAGAACAACGAATTTGAGAAGAAGATTCGTGAAATAAAAAATCCGCCGGTCAGCTTGGAAGCAAAGGTATTAAAAGGTTAATACATTAAAATCAGAAAATGAGTGAAGAAATAGACCATTTCTACTTTCTTTTGACAAAACAGTGTTCCAGGCTGAACGCCAGAATTGAAGAACTAGAGAAAGAGGTATGTTAGTTCCGTAGAGCGTATATAACAATGATAATATTATATTGATATTATTAATATTAATATTAATTTTAATATTATTATAATAGTATTATTTGTCAGCCGTCCCGTCAGCACAAGAAACAGTTTAAAGAGAAGCAAAACCCTGCGAGGGTGTGTTTGGATAAGTCCAAATATCAAAATTCGTCTCTTCCACAAATTCCGATCGTTTCGGTACAAGCGGGAAATAAGTACCACCTCGGAAGGTATTACCTTTTTTCTGAAATAATTTCACCAAGATAAACCGTTCCATTTGAATTCTTCCCGGAATTACCGGATTTTCCATACAAATGGCAAGCGCTCACAATATAGTATTCGCCATGTCAAAGACTTGCAACGTATCTGGTTACACTTATAGTATACCTTTTTGGTAAACAAGTTTCCAGGTTGAGCACCAGAAGTAAACAGTTGAAAGAAGAGGTAGCACAAGAAATGCCAGACATTAATGTTGCATAATAATCCAGCCAATCACTTACTTCATTTTATCTTCAAGATAAAAAAAATGGCTTCATTCATTCACGTGGAAACGTCAAAAGCACAGTAATTTTCAAGGAGTTATAATAACTCCTCTAGTGGGGTTAATTTAACTCCTTACAGTGGAGTTATTTTCACTCCAAAAAGGAGTTTAAAGAACTCTTTTTCAGGAGTAAAAATGACCCCAGATATTGAGGAGTTAAAATAACTCCAAAAAAGGAGTTATCCTGTACCTAAAATTTTAACTCCACTTTTAGAGTTAAAGTAAGTCCAAAAAGAGTAAAAACAACCCATGTAAGGAGTAAAAATAACCCCATTTTCGAAGTTATTTTAACTCCAGATTGGGAGCAAAAAGAACTCTTTTTCAGGAGTAAAAATTACCCCAAATTTGGAGTTAAATTAGGAGTTAAAGTAACCCCAAAAAGGGGGTTATCCTGTACCTAAAATGTTTACTCCATGTTTGGAGTTATAATAACTCCCTAAATGTATGTGTGCGCACATAATGGTCTTACTTTAAGTCAAGAGCTTATTATTGGCCAAAAGATTTTAATTTTTATTTATTGTTGATGTCTTTTTTTGTATATACAGAACCAGAAATTGCGCGCTAGACAGGAATGTGAACGCAAACAGGAGGCTGGCCAGGTAAGCATTAATGACCATTCACTGAGCTGGGAGTTAAACAAAAGCTATCTTGTATTAAAACAGTCATCTTTCTTTCGTTTATTGTCGAGAAGGTTTTCGGAATGGGCACTAGGTCTGAAGAATTAGAAGAACACCTTTCAAGTGCTATGCAAAAGTGCGAAGAGAAAGACGAGGAGGTAAGTCAGCAATGTTTGCCAGACTTTCTGATTATATAAGGGAACTTTCCTTTGCCAAGCCTAACTCAAATGATACCAGGCAAGAGGTGAGTCAACATTTTCTACGCGCTCAAGTTTTTGTAAATTATCGTAATCAATTTTTCAAACTTCTTTTGGTTTGGCGTCTCATATATTGTTGTCATCAAGAAACAAAATGGGCTATAAAAAGGAAAATTCAAACCCCCAGTTCGAAAAAGAAAAAATAAGATAAGAAAACTGAAGCAAGATAAGCCCTCACGATCGTTTCTGTTGATGAGTTAAAAAAAAACGTCCGTGTAAAGGCAATTAACACTAGTTAAAGTAAAAAAACTAGTTGTTTTGAAATTTCGGCAGTTAGTACGGTCAGGGTATGACGATCTCAATCAGTCAAGACCAGCCAAATGTTTACTTATATTTTGTGAGATATAAAAAGCCATTTCGAGATCGTAATTCTTTTTGCCACGTGTTCAGTTGATCAATATTCTTGTTCTGAATCCTATTTCAAACTCTTTTTAACTACATAATTACCATGGTTGTTGTTGCTGATCATGTGCTTCACGTTTTTAAAAGAAGGTGAAAGCTCATTCGCTTCAGTGACATTAAACATAAGCATAATATTTCCCTCTATAATCGAACTTTAATCGAATTTGTTTATCCAATTTTTTCATAATTAAACGTTAAGGCACAAGAAAACCTCAAGATTCACTTTCGGGGAAAATTCATTTTGTTCTAGGTCTCCTGGCGAGAGATATTGCCAATCATTCATATGCTCCGAACACACCTTTGACCCAGGCCAGGCCTTAAACCCTTGAGTAAGAACATCATGTACGTGAGTACTCACAGCCGTTGCACGCAACATCCAGCAGGCTTGACACATCAAGATTGTGTACAGTTCCCACAAACGCTCTTAGGCTAGTCTCACTGCGTATGTCTCGGCCAATTTTGCCCCAAAGATAGGGGCCTAAATATCCGATACTATCCTTGCCGTATTTAACTGTGCCATATCGTGGAATAGGAAAATCGCTTCGCAAGTTATAATAGGGCCATTTATAAGAGGAAAAATAAGACGCGTCTTACATAAGACGCGTCTTAATTAAGACGCGAACTTTCCGTATAAACGGCACATTTCGTCTAAAATAAGACGCGGCTTAGCTAAGACGCGTCTTATTAGATAAGACATGCTCGTATAAATGGTACAGTTCGTGTCTTATTTAAGACGCGTCTTAT